TCAGAGCAGACAGGAGTTCTACAAGATTTTGAACTACTTGAATCCAATTCTTGTCTCCATATACTGTGGATCCACCAATTGACAATGAATTCACCGACCGGAACTACTTTATAGAAATCCTTCAGCAAGATGTGGCAGACAAGAAATAAGTAATTGACAAAGAACGGTGAGTAGAGGCAGAAGATGTATTGATGGGAATGTGAAACTGATCAATGATGATGATGTGAAAATGAGAGCAAGGGGAAGGGAAAGAAAATGTAGGATTTTTTGGGAGATGGCGATTCTGCAGTAGGTGGCACCGGAATATGCAGTCGGACCAAAAGTGTTCCTATTGTTAAGCCTTGGGTCACAAGAAAACAATATCAAAAGGGTTCTTTTGAAGATGTTGAAAGGCGGAGCTAATGAAAAGTTAGAACAGAATTGCTGCTGCTCGTGCTTACAACAAACAGAAGGTAATGGACTTTGACAACCCAAAGTACTGAAGCAGAAATGGCAAAATTTAGACTTGCTGCAACAATTGCTGTGACATTCCGAAATTCCACCAATTGGAATTTATTGAATAATTGAGTTTTATGAATGTATTCGTAGTCAGTTCTTGCCCGGAACTGATCATTCCTAGGAATGCTAACCATTAGGGAAAGGCTAATAGGGGAAATTAAATTCGCGTGACTAAAGGAAATTCGATCGTGAATGGATTTCGACCATTAAATCGCGGAAGTGATATTTTGAGTCACTGTTGGCCAATCCAAGGAAAGTTAGGGGTCAGTTCGCCACTGTCTTAGTAGTGGATCGCGGGTGATTCCGTTGGACCACGAAACGACTTGACGAATGATTCTGAAATTATACCGAACGATCGTACCCCTCGGATCAAGTGATTGATCTTCGCGATTTTAATGACAACCGAGGTCGTCACGCACCGAACGGACTTGCACGTGACTCGATTCAGTATCAGTCATGAGTCGATTCTGCGAATTTCCCCAGCAAGCCGCCCGTTAGCTCGAGAAACGCTCGAGTTGCGTTTAATAGAATTTAATTATGGAATTTTGCCCAAATTAGACACCGGAAAATTAGGAAGTCACGACGGAACGTTAGGACGACATTGCACGTGACACGTGTCAATTTTTGGCGCGCTTAATTCCTTCGGAAAAATTCGATTTGGACAAGAAACGGAGAAAGTGACCAAAATACTCCTAAGATTTAATAAAGGGCATGTTTCAAGGGCAAAGGGTAAGGGCAAAGGGTATTTTGGTAATTTTTCCCTAAAATTTTGATTGAACAATTTTACCCTTGGATTTTTGGGAAATTACAAGTATACCCTTGGATATTTTTGTGCAAGAATCGATCTCGGCCGTCGGATCAAGATAAGATTGAATCGGGACCGTTGGATTAAAGTTGTGAGAAAAGGGTAATTTGGTCATTTCCACCTTTGGTCAAACATTCACTACTTAAGTCTAGATGTCATTTCTCTCTCTCCATTCTTCTTCATCTTCACCGAACACACCCCTCCTCCACCGTGAAACCCTTTGGCCTCCTTCCTCCACGCCGGATCAACCATCGCCAGCTCCGCCGCTCGTCGCTGCACGCCGGACCGCCCTCTAGCCGCTGCCTAGCCGCCGTACCAGCCCCAAACCGCCACCACCAGCCACCGTTTCTCTCTCTTTCCCTCTTTCTCTCTTGGCCGTGAGCCCCCAATCACCGCCCAAGCCGCGTCGTCGCCACCCAAGCCGAATGCCGCCACCCGGGAGCCGTATGTCGTCGCCGCCGTTCCCGATTAAGGGCCGCCGCTTTCCGTTCTAGCCGCGATAGTCTAGAACGCGGGTAAGTCGCGCTCTAAACCCAATTTAGGACTTCGGGTATCAACGGGCGATTTTGGGCGAAATCTGTATAAAGTTAGGTGCGGAATTGTATGAATTGGTAGTGGAAATTTTATGGCGGGCCTTAGGATTTAGTTCGGGCATTAATTATTGAAAATTCAGAAAAATAGGGGCTGGAAATTACTGTTCACGAGCTGTGATTTACTGTTCACGGGGCTGTGATGGTCCGATCGGGACGCAAGTTGGATTTCTAGAACCGAGATTTAATGGTGAGAAAGTCCCGTGAAGGACCGGAATCAATTTGGCGTCGTTTGGCGGGAGAAAAATAGGAATTTATGTGTGTTTTAATTATAATTGAGTTGGGATGGTGAAATTTACAATATGCGGGTGCGAAAAATTGGGGTTTATGATTGGAATTGTTTGGCGGGCCTTGAGGATTATTTTTGGAATTTTTGGAGAACAATTTGAGGTGAATTATAAGTTGCGAGTTACTGTCACAAGCTGCGAATTACTGTTCATGGGGCTGTGATGATTTGTTCGGGACGCAAGTTGGATTTTTAGAACCATTATTTAATGGCGAGAAAGTGTCATGAAGGATCGGAATTAATCCGACGCCATTTGGTTGGAAAAAAATTGGCAATTTACGTGTTTTGGGCATGTTTGAATTGTTCTGGATGGGGTTGATTTAATTGAGTATTTGTTTGTGTGTTATATGTGGTAACTCGAGGATGAAATGATGATGTTTCGAGGCTGGAGTGAGACTGAATAGAGTGTCGGATGCTGTGGGATGGAATTGGCAAACTTAGGGCCCGATTTAAGGCCAGGTAGTGTCGGTTTGGTGTGTGGTAGTATGGTTAGATTGTGATGTTTAATAGGCTTGGAAATGTCGAAATTATGCCTATGAGCGTGGCTGTGATTGTGGGCCCATGAGCGGCCTTGTGTGTTTATTGAACCGTGATTTGATGGATTGAAATGTGCTTGATTATGTGCACGTGTGGGCCAGATTGAATTAATTGTTGAAATTGACCATGTCGAATGCTGAGTGAGCATGTTTTACTTGTTAATTGATGCGTGCACGGGTCACGTGTGATGGGCCAGTTGAGTGTGGTAAATGCTTGATGAGCATGTGCATGAGTAAGAAAGAAAAGTGGTGTGTCATGTGATAGTGGAAGTTATGTGAAGGTGTATAAGTGCGAGAATGGGATCGGGCCGAGTATCATAAGCTCGGGCAGCGGTCATGTAGGTCTGTTGCATTTGGCACAGGCTGAGGCTTGAAAAAGCAAGTATGAGATTCGGTCCGAGGCATGACCAGCTCGGGTGAGACCGGGATTGGACCGAGGCATCATAAGCTCGGGTTCCAATCATGTAGGCCTGTCGCATTTGGCGCCGGTTGAGTTGGGATCGGGCCTGGGGCGTGTGATGCTCAGGTCGCGATTGGGACCTGAGGCGTGAACGGGTACGCAGGCCGGATGTGGTGAATGATCGTAGTGTGCCTGAGGCGTGTACTTCAACGCGGGTCACTGGCGAGTGTTGTGGAAAATGAATTGTCGCAGTGTGCCCGAGGCGTGTACTTCAACGCGGGTCACCGGCGAGTGTTGTGGAAAATGAATTGTCGCAGTGTGCCCGAAGCGTGTACTTCGACGCGGGTCACCGGCGAGGAATATGAAAGAGGAATGAGGATGGAAGGAATAGTGGGATGAGAATGATACATGTGCGTGTGTACATCTGACATGATTGAGTTTGAATGCTGATATGTGCATTATTGAGCCTAACCGTCTTAATTGATGTGCCTGTGATGTGATTACTTGATGTTCGTGAATGTGTGTGATTGCGTAATTGTTTGGAGGTACATGATAGCCTAAGTGGGGTTTAGGGGTGAACTTACTGAAAAGTGTTCTCACGGTTGTTTCAACCGACAATTTCAGAACCCCGATAGGAACCATGAATCCTCCACCACCGCCGCCAGTACGTTTTGGGATACCAGTACACGCGGAGTACGATGTGGCAGAGTTTCCAGTGGGTTTCAGAAGGGTAACATTTTTGGAAGTTAGTATGCCAGGTCGTCTGTTTTTGTTCTTACTTTCGAAGGTTTTAGGAATGTGTGTACTGGTAAACTAAGGTTTGTTCTATTGTAAATATGGTGGAATAAGTTTGATCGAGTACTGGAAATGTATATTCTCCCAATTCTCCCCAGTTTAATTTGTCCGGGTATTTTTTTTTGGTTTCCGTTTGCGCAATGAAATCTCTGATGTTTAGTTGAGGTCGGCGATAACCTAGGACGTCGCAACTATTCGACCGGAGGCGGGATGTCGCGGGCTCGACGGGGATTCGGGACGTGACAATTGCAACATGGCTAGAATTCGAGTCATTGAAGATATTAACAACAGTTCATTCGAGCCACTAAATGTGACATGTTTCCTCGAAAAAGTACTATACCAGAAAAATTTTAAATGTTGGTTTATTTTTCTCTTTCCAGATATTTGTACAATTTTTCCATATAATGTCAATAATTTCATTCCATTAATTGATAATTCATAGTAATTCTCAATAAATTGAATTTACAAGATCTTTTAAATGTCAGGTTTTTTACTTACGAGCAACACGTGTGAACTTTTGCAAGTTACTACATTATAAACCATCCTTTTCTATTTTTCGAGCGAACGAGATAAATTATTTGATTAAGAGCCCAATCAACTGTACAATAAAGCAGATGAGGAGAACGACAGTACAATAGACCATACCCCAAGTTCATTGCGTTTTTCCAAAGAAAATCTTAACGCTCTAACTCAGACAAGAGCTGCTCCAGCCCGAATGTGGAACTGTGTGATGATTGTGTTATGAAATTCAAATTGCACTTATTGGTAGTTACTGATGAATCAGGATTACTTGAAAATAGCAAGTGGACTTACAGAAAATCATCAGAGCTCCTTTTCTGATACTAAGGGTACTTGTTCATAGTCATTTTCTAGCCTTTGTTATTACTTCTTTGAATAACATCTTGATTCTAAAAGCTCCTCAGCAGTGCATAATTTGATTGCTCCCAGAAAATTCTGGTAATGTATTGTAGTGCAGCAAATATAGTGCAAGCATAATTTGATTGATCGACGATGCATATTACTCACCGCAATCATTAGTCGAACACAAAAGTACTTGAATTATATCAAACGCTTGCTTAGTAAATGACACCTGTGAGTGTTGATGATTTTGATGTTCATCATAAACTTCCAACATTGATCAAAGAGTTTAGGGGAGAAAAAAGATAATGTCTGAAAATATGCAGGCCCAGAATCAAAGTGGTCCAGAAAAGGTCCTTGTCAAGGGTCTAAAGCCACCAACCGCATTTGGTCCTGCCCAATCCTGTGAGAAAAATAAGATGAACAGGGTATAATCAGTTTTCATATATGTGATGGCATTATGGAGAGGGAGAATATGAGCTAACAAAATTACACTTCAAAATCAAGAATATATGAAAGCATCCGATCATTGCAAGAACTCATTCTTGCATATTAATTTCTTCATTGTGTCTGTTCCTTCTCTTTCTCCTAACCGTAAGTGTCTCAAGAGTATCGTATAGTCAATGGTTTCTGTTCTCAGTACTAGCCCAAACCGTCCCTGTGCGACTATGCTAGCCGCGTTTAACAGACAGGCCAAACCTAAATCCATCCAAATCCGCCTTGTTATGATCGGGCTTAGCTACAAGGTAGGCAAATCATGTGTAAAAGAGGTACTTCTTGGATCCGATAATGACTCAACTCATTACTTTGAATGCCTCGCTTACTCGTCCATGGTTCTAAGTTTGGACTTTAATCACCTTATTAGGCCAATCCAACGAAACTGGAGATTTCAATTACTTATAGTCTTGGGGGAAGAAAATGGCGCGAGCAGTGTTGGACGAATGTTAAGTATGCAAATTCCATTAATGACCATCTCTTCACTTCTCAAAGTGCAGATTTGTTATTAATCCAGCATTATTTGTGAAGTCTTTCCAACACCAAATACAAGTCCCTAATAATTTTTCTTGAAAATCAGTCATAGCTTCAGAGAAAAGGGTGGTCCAAGCATGAGTCCTATTTCGTTCTATATTAAAGACAGTGTGGATCGGATTCTGAAAAACAATGAGAGAGAGATAGAGAGAGAGAGAGAGAGAGTTTAAACATGGTTACCACCAACAGCTTTCTGCGATTATCATTTTGCCTGCGCATCCTTACGGCCTTTTGCTCCAATTCGAGGATGTGATTCTGATCAATTAGTGGCATCAACACATTCAGAACCTCATTTGGAGAAGTATTTTGAACAAAATTCTAGTTTACCACAAAAAATTTGGAGCGATTACTTTTTATCCAGCCTCGTCGACTGAGATGACGGCAATTGTAACATGACTAAATTGATTCTACATATAGGGAACTTTTACCTGAACTTTCTCGAAAGAATGAGCAGCGGCGATTCTGTTCTTAATTTTGTTGAGCTCTTGCCTTTGAGCATATTCCAAAGAGCCCTTTTGTAATCTTTTCCTTCTGGGCCATTTGTTTTCACTCTCTGTTGCACCTTCCTGAAGGATCTGCATAGATCGGTCATATTCAGTGCTATCCTTCTTTCATGTATTATGTAAATCAATTACTAATGAAGACTGCTAATCAACAAACAAAATACATGAGGAATAACTGTACTATAAAGTAAGCAGTTAATTCTAACTGCTATTAGGCCAGAAAAAATCACGGGCGTGACACACAAAGTTTGCCTTTCAACACACGAACATTCGCATGAAATTGTCTTCTGGTCACCATGTGCACTTCAATCCTCTGTAGACTAGTTACTTACCTTCAAAGGTAAAAAAAAAAAACAGGAACAATGAAAACCATATTCTTGAACAGTAAAGGAAAAATATATGAAGAAATTGCTATGAAACGTATTCTCCTTTTATCGAGCAGGCACTAGCAATATGTTTGGAACAGATAACCCTGTCCAAAATCAATCTCATCAAAGCGTGTCTAGGTATTTCAAACTCTACCCTCTAACTTGGGAGCAACTAGTAATGCAAACAATGTGCACACATCAAACAAAATGCACGTCTTGTTGAATTAGATTCACGGTCAAGTGTAATTTACAAGCATCAAAAGCTAGGACTCCTTTTTTGTCTACCTTAAGGAAAAATTTTCACTCAAAATGGCTCATGTCAAAATGATCATTTTGACTCAAATCCTAGTTCACAGTGCAAATTCTATTTGCTGCAAGTTCCTTCGAGACTATTCATCGGGGGTTTGAAACTGGAGTTATTACCTTCCTTTTCTCGATTGTGCCAGCTACAGAAATTACATTCTTCATTTTCTTTGACTCGCGCTGCTGAGCATATTCCAGAGAACCCTTCATACAAATTCCCGCGACATTTTTCTTTGCACGTTCAGGCACATTGTCTTCCTCAAGGATTTGCATGAAGAGGTCATAGTCAATGCAAGCATTAATCTCATCTAGGGGATGATGATCAACAGCAGGATCATACGAACCCAAGTAGCGGTTCTCGAAACGCTCAAATTCGTGTAAAAGCGAGACATGCTCTGTAGAATCTTTTTCTCTGATGTAGTTCAGGGGATCCATTACTTGCTTTGTGGGGCTAAAATGCTCATAAGTTTCCTCAGGCCGAGTTTCACTTGCTGCTCAATACCGAAGAAGGATGAAAGGCTTATAGGATCCCACAATCACACTTATTTCATGCACAAGGCACATTAACTGTGAGTTATGAAGGATGCTAAATCAACCAAGTCAATGCATGGACAATAATTTCAGAGCACATTTTCTTTGTTGGTTTTTCTGGAGGTGCAAAACGTGTTTTGATAGTAAGTGAAATATATTTCTGACTCCTTTGTGAAACAAAGAGAATCATTCTCGGGCAGGTGCCAAACGTGTTTTGATATGAAGTGAAAAGACAGTAGTGTTTGCAATTCGATTGTACTATATTATCAAAGTTCGAGTCAGTTTAAGCTCAACTCGAGCTAATTAGACTAGATTTTACCATTAAAACAAGTCAAATCATGCTCAATAACTTGACATATTAGGATCCATCGAGCCTCAAGTTATGCATAATCAAGCCGAGCCGAGTTAAAGGATTACCTAGTGTAGACTCGACTTGATCACAATGAGAACTCGATTGGGCTGTGGACCTATTATTTCCTAGAAAAATTGTCATCCCTTGATTATATGGGTGTAAGCATCTAGTATCTTGTCAAATTTCAGGAAATTTGTCCAAAAAGTCATAAACCTTTTAATTGTATCAATTGAGTCCTAAAACTTTTCATATTTTGCAAATTGAGTCCATCTATTCAATTTTGGCCAAAAATCACTGATGTGGATGCTAACCATCTTACGTGGCACGTCGGCACTAATGTAGCAATTTTTAATAATATTTTTCAAATTCATTTTTTCCTTTTCTTTTCTTTCTTTCTTTTCTTCCCTTCTTCCTCTAGCCGATCACTAAGCCTCAGCGATGGCCAACGACTGGCCAGAAGTGAGGGCCGGCGAGAGTTACGCCTCACCTGTGGCTGGGCAAGGTCGAGCCTCGCTAGGGGCAAGCAAGGTCGAGCCTCCCTAGGGGCAGGCAAGGCTCACCCTTGCCAGTGGCTAGTGGGGCTCGCCTCAGCGACTGGCTAGAGGAAGAAAGGGAAGAAAAAAAAGAAAAAAAAGAAAAAGAAAATAATAATAATAAATAATTAGAAAAATATTAAAAAATTATCCACTTCAATGTCGGCCGACATCCGCGTCAGCGATTTCTGGCTAAACTTGGTTGGAAGAACGGTCATATAAACTCAATCGGCAAAGTGTGAAAATGTTTAGGATTTAAATAAAATTGGCACAATTAAAAAGTTTATGATTGAATTGGTAAAAGTACAATAAATTTATAATTTTCTGTATAATTTTCTCACAAATTTTTCTAATGAAGCACTTTATGGTCCACATAACTCTCAATCCATAAACAACCATGGAGCATAACATGGCGCAACACCATTACCAACATCTCATGCTAGAGTTCGGTGTGGTTATGGGAATAGCAATTCTTTTTTAGGGTGATATGACAGGTGTGAGGTTGAAAACTCAGCCTCCAAGTGAAGTAAGTGATGATTTCCATTGGAAGCTAAAGTTTCCATTTTGTCCAAAGATTCCTTGGAAAGTGGGTGAACAATGTGCAGGGAGAAAGAATATTTTGCTTTCATATGCCCAGACATGATCTGGGATCCATTCAGCCTGCTTCCTAATAGGACTCGGGAACAAATTGGGTTACTGAGACTGACCAATGCGGTGGCACCAACTAGGCCTGACTGCCCATAAACGGAACAACAGCTTCTCTTTTGGACTTTCTTGGATTAGTAGGCCCATTCCATAGAGTAGAGATTGAATATGCGCAATTGAAAAGGCTGGGGTTATTTTCATGGATTTTTATTAGGTTCATTGTCAATAATGCAAAGTTTACACAATTTCTACTGCATAGACGATAAGGATCACCTATCAAATATTTCGGCAAAAGTACGTTAGAAGTGCCACAACTTGTGTACGGAGATCACTTTGGTGCCATAACTTTTTTTCGGATCACTTTGGTGTCAACTTTTTTGAAAAACAATCATTTTAGTGCCAATGCTGACGTGGCTCGCCGGAAATCCGATGTGGCGCTGACACGGCTCGCCGGAGAGGTCCAGTCAGCATTAAAAACAAAAAACGACGCCGTTTAGCCCGTTGCCATGTACTTTTTAAAAAAAATTAAATTATATTTATTTAAAAAAAAAAAGGTTGCAGCAGCGGCGAGGGTCCCTCGCCGCTGCCGCAACCTTTTTGTTTTATTATTATTATTTTTCTAAAAATTAATAAATTGGAAAAAAAACCACATAATTTCCACGTGTACAAGTCAGACCATTTTTTTTTAATATAAATGCCAGGTCAGTTTTTTGGCCGGAGTCACTAAAGTGATCTATTTTCCTCCGACTTGACACCAAAGTGATCTGAAAAAAAGTTATGGCACTAAAGTGATCGTCGTACACAAGTTATGGCACTTATAGTGTACTTTTGCCCAAATATTTCCTTCTCCCTCGGGATGATTTCTAGAATGCGATAATAGCAAAATTGATTTTTGAAGTTTAGTTGAATGTGCAATGTCATCATTAAACTTTTAATTTTTGTAATGTGGTCTCTAAACTTTGACCAAATGTGCAATGTTGTTCCTAAAATTTGAATTTGTTCAATATGATCCTTAAACTATTAGTAACCATTCAATATAGTCTTTAGCCTATATGAAAACGTTTAAAAGTTTATAGACCATGTTAAACATTGAAACAAAGTTTATGGGCCACATTGAACAAATTAAAAGTTCAGGGATAACATTGCACGTTGGATCCAAGTTCGGGGACCATTTATATCATTTTCCATTCTGAATAGTGCAAGCGTTATATGTGTAGGTAATTTTTCATTTCTAGTCCCATAAACAAAACCCTAACAAAACATTCTCTCTTTTTTCAACCGATGATAGCAACACCCCCTAAGCCACTTGGTGACCACCAACTTCAAGTTTCATCAGGGCGGTGTTAACCCCATCATCGCCGATGGACTACACGCTGCCTAACGCAACTGTCTCCCTTGATCTCGATGAAGACTATCACTGATTGAGGGCGGCAGTTGTCGATCGATGATGCTCGTGACACACATTGATGTGAGCACCCACGTGCACACTCCCGCGCGTGTAGAGAGAGAGAGAGAGATGTAGACCGTTTTTTCTATACACTGTTAAGAAGGTCCCAAGGTTCCTGTTTTAGTGCCACTCCTTGTCTTCTATAGGCTAATAACTTTATGTTGCCTAGCAGCTACGCTCACATATTGGCATGCTATAATTACTTCACTGAAACATCTCCTCAGTGTCTCTACAGCTGCAATGTGCCCTTTTTCTTTCTAACCAGAAGTCTGCACGACACCATATCTTGTTGTAGTTGCTTTTTGAGGACTTCATGCTCACATCGAAGTGTGTTGTGGTCTATATAGAGTCCCAATTTACGCTAGCTTCAATCATGCCCACTAGTGAGCAAATGGTGCCAAATCAATCAAAACCAAGAAAAAGAAGAGATGAAGCTAGAGCCTAAAAGATCCTACCCTATGGAAGAAGGAGACGCTTAGAGCAGCAAGATCAGTAGGCTCTCTTGACAATTGTAACTCAATCATTCTGACTGAGATTGTATAAGGTAATTGAACAAATGTTAGAAGTTCATCTAACAAATTAAATTCTTAGATCCATCGACACTAATTTCACAAAATCTAGAAATTGCGGATGAACGAAGCATACAGTCAACTCTTTTACAAACGTAATTTGTGGTATTGAGAGCATGAACTCTTATCGATTTGAACAAAACGCCGTTCTATCTTTATCCTCGCGGTCTATCCAACCCACATGATGCCTCCCTTTTTCCCCTATAAATAACTATATACAAAAGTTAGTTGATAAAAAATCAATGTTCATGTACGCAGAAGGTGGCAACTGCTAACCGACTATCCCTCTTTAAAATATCAACATTGGCACATTTATTTAATACGCACATGCAACTACCACGACATGATTTGGCCTGAATTACGCGAACTCTTTGATAAAACGAATAAAAAATTTATGGATACCACAAATTTTGGGGTGATCAGATTGTACTCATTAGTCATGTCCTGGACGCAAAATCCAACATTGACTAGGAATCTCACGCAGCATCCAAACGAAGAGGTCGGGCGATGCTATGTTTATTAAATTGGTCCATTAGGGACCATTTCATTGAAATATAGTTTGGACATTCGCTTTATCGGATGGTCCGCCTTGGACCATGAAATTTATACTGATGTATGGTTGATAGTCTTTATTAGCTCCCAGCTAGTAAAATATACCTTGGTTGTTTGAACTTGTAAACCCTAATGTTATAAAAGTGAGCGAGAGTCGACACGAAAACTCGAAGAGATGTGATATTTCTGTACATCCAATTTCTTTCAAGTTGCAATTAAGAGGTACTTAATGTCCGTCTATGCTTACTAAGCGCATCTACTATGTTCTATCAAAGGCAAGCGAGCCGCGTCAAAATTAGAGGATTCGTGTCCTTAAGAGGTCGGGTGACTAAGAATAAAACCTTACACAAATTTTACAACTTCTATTTTTCTTGAAGCGCAAAACCCTAGTTTCCATCTAGTTGAATATGTAGCAATTTTGGCCGGTCTTTTCTTGACTATAATTTTCCACTTAGGATGCTATTATTATTACTAGTAATCAACATGTTCCATCGCAGTTTCCTTTCGCTAACGAAGGGTCACTATGCAACCATGAGTATGCATGATAGACAATTAATGCATGAAGTGGCAGTTCTCGAAACTTTTTCTAAGGCACATGGCCGGCATCCGTCCAACAGATAGCAATTGTTAACATGCAATTTACAAGATCTAAAGGTCCATTTTGCATTAAAAGGTGGGGCATGACGTTGATCAGTGCAATTCATCATGATAGTCATCATCGTCCTCCTAATCACATCACTTTATCCGATATGGGGCCAAATTGAAAAAAAAAAAAGGAACAAAAAAAACCAGAAAAAAGAAACAGAAAAGAATATTGATTTTTAACTTTTGAGTGTGGAATAAAGTTTATAAGCAATAAATATAAGTCGACCCCTCTTTGGTTACGAGGTGTTGATTGAAATTACTTTATAAAATCTCTCTATATCACGTGATATCAAATGATTGTCGAATTAATGTTGACCTAGGAAGAATTTAACAGAAATTTTTTTGCATGACATAAAATCATGCTATTCTCTCTCTCTAACCAAAAAATCGAAATGGGTTCGTCTATACAAATGAGATATTAATCAGCGATGGACAAAAGATGAAGACATGAGCATCTAGAACTGAAGTTAGCAAAGTTCTTAGTCGTTGCCTTCTAGGCATTATCTCTTGAATGAGCATTCCATTCATTCCTCCAAGTGGGCCTTTCCTTTTCACTTCTAGTAGTCTTGATCTGTGTGCGCTTAATCGTTGGGAGTTTGCGCGTTAAGAAAGAGCAAGTCTTGTATGCATCCGGTGCATCCAGGTTTATTCCACCTCAGCTGTTGGATCGTGAGAATGTCCATATAATTTAGTTGCCTAGATGAAGTGAGGTCACATGTTATGGGTACATGCAACAATCTTTAGTACTGAGCCTTAGTGACTACTACTTGCAAATTCAATAAATAGTGGTTCTATCTCTACATTATAACCTAGAAACTATTGGTAACCAGAGAGTTCTCTCTCTTTAATAAATAACTAAATTACTGAGAGCAGTAGTAATCACATCCTTCGTCTTCGCCATTTTGTAGACCTCGACCCTCAATTTGCAGTCAACCAAAAAAAAAGTTATGTATATCATGCATAAGAAAAGAGATTGATTTAATTAGGTCTAATTGGTTGGCCCGAGTTCAGAAAACAAAAATACTAGGGAAGATGTTAAATAGAGTCCACGTGGCATTTAACTTAGTTAAGTAGACCCGTAGAATTTAAGTTGTGATTATTGCAAAGCGAACTCTCTCCAATCCATCATGTGACCTGGCAAGATTAGACTTCATCACTCTGTCAAAAGTCAACTGTCCTGACTCCTTCCAAATTGTAGAACGAAACATCGGGGACACCACGGAAAACAAACTTAAAAATGAAAGATGCGAAACTTGGCTCTGATTAATTTACAAAGTCTTACTCAAACTATTAAGTTTTAAGTAGAGGGAGACTATGTGCAGATATGACTATTAAAATCCTATATTCAAGCAACGTCGGATGACAATGAACAAATAATATTTGGACCTTGCTCCTATCGCAAATTTTGTGGATGCATTTGTCACCTACAAAACTTACATCTTCATAGAAGCAAATGACTCGTGTCTAATGAAGCTGATTTAGTTAGAGAATAATTGTATAGGATTTTGTTCATTAGGGTATAGATTTTAATCACTCGCATGTTTATGACCAAAAAAATAAATAAATCACTCACATGTTTGTATTAACACATTTTGAGATTATCTTATGCTATTGGTTTTTTTTAATACTATGCCCATCATAACAGAATTAGGTTATGCTCATGAAGCTCTCTTTCATCCTACCGAAAAATTAATTGTGGCAAGAATTAACTCTATGATTGTGTAACCTAACTGTCATAATTTTGCCTACTTTACTTTTAAGTGATTAAATTTTCAATTCAACTAAATATATGCGACTGAATACCAAACTATAACAATTGCCCAAAAATTGTTGGTAGGTCAATATGGAGTCCAAAGTAAGATATATTTATCCTATCGAATATGTTATGATGTATTCAAATTGGACTTGCTCGGATATAACTTGGATAAATACTATGGATGAACATTTTTCACCTAGAGATGAATGACCCCCCTCTATCTCTCGCTCTCTCTCTCTCTCTCTGGAGAACACCAATCTTGCGCTGGTCGACCCTCATGTGATTAGTATGAGGTAGTCAAGGTCGTCAAACATCGGCACATACGGTTTCTTGGTGAAACGCCGTGGCTTAGACATTGCGTTGGTTTCTTTCGTTTCCTTTTCAGTTCAATAGTTATTGTTGTTCTTTTTCTTATTTCTGAAGCGATCACAATCCATGAACACCAAACCACCAAGTTTGATACAAGGTCTATACTCGACGTATTATCCGGTTATGATAAAATAAAATACAGTACGCACACGGGAAATCCTATTACGTTCCATCCTTGTCTTATCACGTTCAGCTCAGCTCATCTTAACTACAAAACACACCAGATTGTAAATCCATGCTCCCCCTGAACAATGAAAGTTGCGAGGGCCCTTCCTACCATGGACACATTATCACATGTGGATCCCGAGACGAGCGCATCAAATCACCAAAGCAATGATTCTCCATGAAGACTTGCGCACGCACGGGCACATCACAAGCTGCTCCGATGCTACAAACAAGCACACGATGACACCGGGCAAACCCTTTGTCTGGGTCTGGCCTCCGAAACCACCAACAAAGCAAGCGATTCCATTACAATCCAAGTCGAGAAGGCCCCAAGAGAAGAAGAAAGAGAGAGAGGGAGAGAGGGAGAGAGAGAGGACCAAAGTCCCATCAAGTCAAGAGATGATGACTTCTCAGACAGCTGAACCGACGGTACACATGCGACACGTGGCCGACATGCAAATCGAAGAACAAAAACCCCTTTCGCCAAATGGGGCCGTGGAGAAGGAGAATATACTCAAAGATAGTGGGGAGAAGCATGATGATGATCACGAAGATGGAAGAACAGAAGCGTTGGACGTAATACAGGAAGCTATGCTAAGAACGGCGTACAAAATCGACTTATAAAGTGATCTGATATACTTATGTTAAGTAAGTGAGTCGCAGTGAAAGAACAAAACGAATCAAGAACATCACTCTGTGAATCGATTTTGTGTGCAACCCTCGCGTAGTTTCGTAATGTTTCTGGTGATGGGTCCCGTTTGGAGCCCACGGTTTCACGAGAAGCACCTAAGCAAAGAGGGGTCAGTCCACTTGCCATTGCATGCTTTTTGGTGAATTCAATCATAGAGCCCCAGTGTTTCTCAATATGTGGGGGAGAGAGATCAAAGAAAGAGAGGACTTGCTTTTTGCTTTCCTTGCTACCTGTTTAATTATTGTGCATCTCTCTCTCTCTCTCCATTCTTGGTTCAGTCTCGGTTTTATGACACCATCCTTTTATGCATTAACATATGTTGACTAATCCTAACCAATCAACTCTTCTCCTTTTCTTTTCCCCTTTTTCTGATAAAAAGAAAAAATCTCCTCCCATTTTTCTTGGTGAAACATCAACAGAAACGCCCATCTTTCTTTTTCTGAGCCAATTGCTTCATATCCTTGAAACTTCTGTGCCTTTGTTCTTGCATAAAGGTTCAGCTCTTCTAGAGATGACTAGCTTGCATGAGGAGGCAGAAAAATCATCTCTTATGCTGCGGTGCTGATAGAGGTTTCTTGATGTTTCTTGGATTCATGTCCAAACTGGAGCCCGTAAACAACACACAGACATCAATCTTCTTTAGTCACTCTAGAAGGTTGAAAGCTAAATCTGTTGAAGTTTTACAGCTGTGTAGTTAGTCCTTTGTGATCTCGCGGGATCAAAGGAATACCCAGGTATGTTTTTTCCTACCTCTTTCAGGTAATTCTCATGAATCCTGCCGGAAGCTTACTTGCTGATTTTGTCATTCGGTAATTAGTGTTATCCACGTGAACATCATTTTGCAAAATCTGCTTAGGCTATGAAAAGATGTAGATGTTAGAGAAAATCTCCTCTTGGGTTATTAATTAGGAAAATCCAAATAGGACGTGGACAAGAGAAAATTATTTTTGACTTTTTCTCAATGACATTAAGCAACAAATAAAACTTTTTCTAGGGGGCACACTTCGGCAGTGTCTTTCCAAACTGTATAAAGAGAATTTAACTTAACAGGCTAGATGACACATAGAGGAGATCAGATTTGCCCAGAAATGAGAGTCTGAGATTCTGCAATTTTTTCACCTAAAAAGGTGACTGAAGCAAAGACACAATTTTTCTGATTCTTCACATAAGCAATGGACCTGGCCTGAGGCTGAGGGTGAAGTATAAAGCTAACTTTCTGAAAGGTGGGTTCTGAGGTTTCTGCAATTTTCTATGCCTTTATTGGTTTAACCATTTGAAAGAAGAACCTCAAGGGCTTTTTTTCCTTTTTAGTTTTGTGTAACATGTCAAGTACTTGCTGTGAATGAGCCTAGCCTACATGTGCATCGTCACTCAGCTGCTTTCTTTTATCTCCATTACTCTCTTTTCTGGAAGAAAGAAGAAAAAGAAAACTTGGCCTAGCCAAGATTTTAGAAGATCTTTGGTAATAAAGACAAACCCAAGAGATATAATTGCACAATAGGACCACTAGCACACAACACACAGTTCGAAGTGGGGGCGATTCTTATTTACTTTTTCAAGGGATTGAATGAAATGTCTGTGTCCTGACAGAACTTTGAGCAACATGTATACCATGCAATTGCAGGTCTCACACTCATCAACCATGTCATGTACTGCTAGTTTCAGATAGCTAAAAGTACATAAAATAATTGTTAAGAAAGAAAGTCTCAGTTAAGAGAAGCCATCCCCTTCTGACGTCTGAATCCATCATCAAGATTCTGCAGAAAGAAATTTAAAGGGTGATAGTTATAAGGTACATTAGTGGCTTTTATTGTATGCATCTGCATTACATATAAGTTGCTAGAAATTGCAAAATTAGTTACTCAGCATTCTCAGATTAAACTTCTATTACGGCTGGCCCAAAAAAAATTGTGTTATTAGTGCGTCATAGATCATAGAAGAAGCGGAGCAGCCAGAGATTTTGGATTTTGGGTCAGGTGCTCAATATTTCTCAATTTTTGGAAAGAAATTCTATATAGCAAGATTTAGCAACGTTAGCACGAGATAGCTACAATACATCTGCTTCACTAATTCGAATATTTACCGGTGATACACAGATTTTGATTAAAAAGAAGGAAGCAAATGCCAAATTATGCTGCCAAATCTTGACAGTTTGGTTAAAACCTGAATTAATAGGTTTTTCTTCCAAGCAAGACATGTTATTAAAGAAGGATTTAAATCTGATTCCCATTTTTAGCCTGCATACGTAAGAGGAAAACTGGGCAAGTTTATATTCATGAAATAAATTATTTATCAGCTTGTTTAAATATTATCTTAGATTTTTCATAAAATTTATTAGCTTAGGCTCTTTGGGAACCAAACTCCTATGCAAATTACGCTAAAAAAAGTTGAAGCATCGTTACATTGAATTACGACATATTTCCCGAGATTAAAACATTTTAGACATTTTTCAGCAAATAAGGAAACTAAAATCTGATGCTGCAAAACTAATTAAAACATGACCTGTTACACATAACTTCCTAAATAATAAAATTACTCTCCATCAATCTTCCTCTTTAATTTCTCGAAAGCCGTACTGCCTTCTCCTGGTGTCAGATTCTATCGTTTCCAAAATCAGATTTCCCATAACTCCACAGTAATTGAGGTGCCATTTTTGTTCATGAGTAAAAGGTTGGTCCATGCTGATGCTGTAATGTATCACTTCCTTATAGTGTTTATGGAATGAACGATAAATGATGCAATAAAGGTGGTAATAGCTATTCAGTCCACACACGTAAGTGCCGACCTCATCTTTTTCAAAACCAGAAGTCTCACCATTTTAAGTGTTTTTTTGCTACAACTGTCAGAATTTGGCAATAAGGGTAGAAAATCCCAAGATTTTACTTAAATGGATTCTGATTTCTCATCGTCATACTTTAACAGACCAGTTGCTTTATTAAAGATTTTTGTCACTTACCATAAACAACGGAGACATATCTGCATGATTTCAGGCAGAGTGTTTTCCTAAGAGTTAGAGCATTTTTTCATTTCTCGGTGATTCTTTGGAAAGCGTCTGTGAGGTTCATGTCTATGAAGAATTTTACCTATAAATGAGTGACTTCTGATGGAAGAATTAATGAAAAGGTGAAGCTGCTTGGTTTTCTGCTCTATTCTTTGTTTTCCTGTTCTCCTCCTTTCTGAGTTCTCTCGATCAAATTTGAACTGCATTCCCCTTTTTCTGAATGAGAATATGTAATCTTGCCTTCTCTTTCTCTTCCTTCTTCTTTTTTAATTTGTTCCTCAATGGTTCAGTAGCGGATAGTTTTTGGGTTTAGGTGTTTCTCTTCCATTTTTTGGTTCAATTATCTTGGCTATCCCTTTTCTGCCATTTGCTTTTCGGTTTTTACCTGATCGACCTCAGTCTCTGTTGATGTCTATCTTTAAACGTTGAATTTGAAATTGCTGTTGATCCTCAATTTGTGTTTAGATTTGTGGATCAGTTTCTTCATTGGAATCTGCCGGTACTGATTGAAATTTGTGCTTCAACTAATTGATTCATTGCCTTTATGAGAAAGAGAAATTGGGCATCTCAAATCACCCTTTTTCGATCTTTTTTTCTTTTTTCTTTTGGGCTTGAATAGCATACAGAATCATGTGATTGCTTTGCTTTTGACAACTCCCTTCTTACATTTGTGCAGGAAGCTCCTGTTTGTTGTTGATCCATTCTTAGTTACACTTTGCTGGGAAGCTCTTCCGAAGTTTCTCGATTGATCATCTTAAAATGGATAGACCATAGTTGTCTGAATTTCTGGTAGTTCGAAGCGCATTTGCTGAAAGGTGAGGCTATTGAGACTCGGAATCTGGTCATGAGCCCTGGAATTTGGATAAAAACAAAAAGGAACCACAAAGATGAAGTTTATGAAACTTGGGACAAGGCCAGACACATTTTACACAGAAGAAGCAACAAGGTACAGATAGTGAACAAAGATGGAGACCCTTTTTTTGCATATACTGATGAAAGTTGTGGTTGACATCTTAGTTTGGACAAACATTTGCAGAACTGTGACTTCAGATACACCGACAGACCTAATTTTACGAATCAACAACATCAATTATCTTCTCCATAAGGTACAGGTTCAGAAAGCCCTACTCAACATAAATATTAGGACAACTCAATGCTTCTGATATTAGTTTTGAATTATGGAGCGGAAATAAATCTACGTGTGCGTAAATCACATAGCAGATGATGAAACTTTTTAGAATTCATGAACACAATCTCATCTTCAGATAGAAAAAGGAATGCATTGAAAACTCATGAGTGTACATAACTTTTTATGTTACTTGAATTGTTTGCGATTTTTCAGCTCAGTTAACACAGAGCTTTTAGTTGCAGTTTGCTCTGCTACCAAAATGCGGTCTCTTACAACAGCTTTGCCCAACGGATGATGGTGAAATCACCATAGATCTCCACGACATTCCTGGAGGTGAAGAGGCTTTTGAGTTGTGCGCTAAATATTGCTACGGAATTACCATCAACTTCAGCGCGTATAACTTTCTACCTGCATTTTGCGCTGCCAAGTTCCTCCGGATGACCGAAGCGGTGGAAAAAGGAAATTTTGTGCTGAAGCTCGAGGCTTTCTTCCATTCGTGCATCCTCGAGGGCTGGAAGGACTCCATCATCACGCTTCAGACTACAATCAAATTACCTGAATGGTCTGAATCTCTTGGAATTGCTAGGAGGTGCATGGACTCAATTGTGGAGAAAATTCTCACTCCTCCACCGAAGGTTGAGGCATTTCTTGTTTTCCTACTTTTGCTTCATTTATACAAAATTTTCAGTGGAAAGAATATAACAATGGTTGTAACATATATGCAGGTCACATGGTCTTATACTTATACGAGACCAGGATATGACAAGAAACATCGCCAATCCGTACCTCGTGACTGGTGGACAGAAGATATTTCTGATCTAGACATAGACCTGTTCCGATATATTATCGTTGCAGTACGATCGACCAATATGCTTCCTTCACAGCTTATTGGTGAAGCTTTGCATGTCTATGCCTCTCGCTGGCTACCAGACACGACTAGGACTAGGACTAGGACTATCGGAAGTGCTGCATCACAACCAGAAGAAATCACAGTGAAGAACCGGCGAATCCTAGAGGCTATCGTGAGCATGATCCCAGCAGAACGGGGTTCTCTTTCAATTAATTTCCTGCTAAGGCTTCTGAGTCTTGCAAACTATCTAGGATCATCTCCATTAACTAAAACTGAACTCGTCCGGAGGTCCAGTCAACAGTTGGAAGAGGCAACAGTGAGCGATCTGCTGTTTCCTTCTTATTCCACATCAGACCAACACTTATACGATGTGGAATTGGTACGGTCGGTGTTGGAAAGTTTTTGGGTACTGTGGAGAAGACAAGCTCCTGGACCTTCAGAGAAGGGAGAGTCTATGAGATCAGTTAGGAAGGTCGGGAAGCTCATTGATTCTTATCTTCAAGTGATATCCAAGGACGTCAACATGCCTGCGTCGAAAGTAGTATCTCTTGCCGAATGCTTGCCAGATGTTGCCAGGCCACTGCATGATGACCTCTACAAAGCTATTAACATCTACCTGAAGGTAATATCTTTGAAGCATTGCACATAGATAGAAGCATCGGAGAAATAGAGTAGATGTTCTTATCTTGACAATCAAGGTGCTCGTGTGTTTATTGGATGGCTTAACAATTGGCTTCATGCTTCTTCATGTGCTAGCAGGAGCATCCTGATTTGTCCAAAGCCGACAAGAAGTTCCTCTGTCGGATTTTAGATTGCCAGAAGCTGTCTCCGGAGGTACGGGCACATGCCGTGAAGAACGAGCGCCTGCCCTTACGGACCGTGGTTCAAGCCCTCTTCTTCGACCAAGAGAAAACCGCGAGGGGAGCAACAACACCTCATAATAGCTTGACTTCATATGACACCACAACTAGGGGAAAGGAGACACTCGCTGCAAGAGAAGATCAAGGCAAGCAAAAGCTAAGCCCGGAAGTTCGATTTCCAAGAGCAGATGGCCCGACAATATTCGTAGCCGAAACCAGCACAACAGATCATCCTAGGATAATGCAACCGGACATTAAGCTACCTCGAGAATTGGAGAGGAAGTTGGTGATGAGGGAGACAGAGGAAGGAGTAGAGTCATCAGAGAAGGCAAAGGATGTCGCCACAGAGGAAAGATCGCAAAGAAGCATGTCGGACCCTCATAAGATCGGGAAAAGAACTGGCAAAACGGATCGCGGCCATAATAAAGGGCGAGAGAGATAGTGAATTGGCTGATGGTCGTATATATCGGCAAGAAGCATTGCATTACGCTTCAGGAGGATCTGTAACTTCTCCTATGCCCATCAATTAGTTTGGTTCTGAGTCATCATTTACAATGTAATCTACAATTTGTGAAGTAGACACAGCTTCTATAAGATGAGAATCTCCATAAACCAAAGAAGAAATTCTTCAGAAACTAATCCTAAACCATTCATTATCCAATATACCAGCAACGTAGACTGCTATATGCACCTCTTAGACTCCTTTCCTCCAAACACATGATTTTTTTTTTGTCAGACTTCTTACTGATGATGTTTGATGAGGACCTGGAGAGTCAAATTGAGTTAAAAATTGAGAAGATAAACTGTTGGGATATGAATTGAGTTTTACCTTCGAAATAAAAGTTCATTTTACTAAATGAAAGATCTACGCAGGATCTCGTAAATCAATTCAGTTTTGAATTGTAAACGACACGTTATATGAGGTTAATTTTATTGTAAGCGCAAACTTTTCATAGTAAATGAACTCCGAATTCCGTAAATTATAAAATTCTTATCATAAAGTAATCTTCTACTCACATAAAAATTCGAACAATTGGTATCTTATTTCCCTTGGTTACCAAAAAAATAGAGAGAACATTTAACACACGGTATCTTTTTTCCAAGGACCCGCCCAACGATATATAAAATGCTTCAGATACCCAGAAAAAAAGCTTTCACCTTTCACTCTCAAAACTCCAAATTCTGGAAAACCCAGCACAGCAAAGACGAATTGGAGCTCTGATTCTGCTTCCCTCAGGTACGTTCGGCTCGCGCACCGTCCCTACATTCCTTCAGTCTACCAATTCCGATACACCCATTTCAAGATTCGACGTGATCGTGCTGTGAATCCCGTTTGGTTTCTTGAGTTGGTAGTTGCAGAAGCTGGTGATGGCGGAGAAGGGAGGAAAAGGGTCTTCAGTGCCCAGTAAGGCGGTCAAGTCCTCGCTCAAATCCGCAACATCCAACGGAGGTAAAAGTAATGTGACCCATTTCACTTCCTTCTGATTCTCTCATTTGTAGCAGTCAGCCTGTTGCTGTGCTTGGTTTATGTTAAGAATTCCATGGTTGTGTGTCTTTGACGTGTAGCATCTGCGAAAGGCAAGGACGATGGCTCTGGGAAACCCAAGAAGGGGAGGAAGGTTCAGTTTGATTCCGAAGGTTTGCATCTTTTTATTTCGTTTAGCTTTCGGGTTTAATTCCTTGTTACTTGTAAGTGGTTGGAGATGTGGCTTCTGTGACTTTCCGTGATTTGCTCCATTTTCTTGCAATATGATGTTTCCTTGTGGTGCTATTTGCATAGGTCTGGGGGATGGAATTTTCGGCTTCTCATCCGGTGGCAAAGCGGACAGTTTGTTGAATAAATGTCCGGTTCCGAGTCATCATTTTCAGGCTATTTCAGTGGATTTATTGCTTGGCAGTTCCATGTGGTTTCCGAGTCACTGCGTGCTGATTATTTTGTCCTGGCAATCTGTGTATTCTCTTAGTGAATTTGGGCAAAGGAGGGAAAGGAGATAAGACTGGCAAGGCTGCAAAAAGTTCCGCCCCCAAAGAACCGCTTCCTCTAGAGCTCAGAGTTGAGCAAGGTACGTTTTTGGCCACGCCACCCAATGCGCAGATTGAATTTCTTAGTTATGGGTTACTTCAACCTCTGACTGACGGGTTTAACTTCACGCATGGAGCTTCACTTGAATTGGTTTGTTTTAGCTATGAAAATCCAGAATGAAATGAGATCGATAATGGTCCTAAATTTTTTTTTATATGAAATATTTAGGTTCAAGCAAGACGGCTTGGCAAAAAGGCATTCTAGTTAATACGAATGGAGAGACAGATGCTTTTCAAATTACTTATAGTTAATGAATGTACCCAATCCTTGGCTCATGATTGTAAGCTTACATCTGCATGTTGATAACCTGTATGATTGTTCCGTTTCTGACTTACTAGAGTCAGATTGGACTTCAGCAAGTTCATTTTAGACTGTGGAGTCGCGGTTTTTCCTCTTCTGGCCAAAGAGCAGAGTTGTATTGGGTTCTTCAGTTAATTGGGCATATTGGAATTGATGCCACATGTGAATAATAGTTTACCTTTTCGTCAAGTTTTAGGTTTGGTTTAGATTAGCTACCGTGTTGGGTATGCTCCCTGATCTTGTCATTTTATTGAATTTATAGAACTCCCAAAACATGCCAAATGTCTGATGGACTGTGAAGCTACTGAAATCTTACAAGGAATCCAGGAGCAAATGGTCATATTGTCTGAGGATCCAACAATCAAAATTCCTGTGTAAGCAGTACATTCTTATGGGTATTATTTTGATCCTCCTCTTTCAACATACCTGAGTCAACTGCCGTTTCAGATCCTTTGACCGTGGATTGCAGTATGCCAAAAATGGAATTCACTATGCAGATCCGGCATCAGTGAGAAGAGCTCTAGAGTATCCCTGTTTTTTAAATTTCTGTTGAGTGCTTTAATTATGTGATTACTATTTCTCCTAATGAGGGCGCATGCAATGGTAAAAATGTTGTTAACCATTAACTCAACTTGAAGGCCTCTTACACAATATGGTGTCACTGAAGGCGAGGTACTAATCTCAACTTTTTGGGTACCTTTTCTTAAGAAGACGCAGTGCCATTAATCTCAGATTTTGTGCAGATATGTGTCATTGGGAATGTCTGTCCAGAAACTCCGGATGAAGTTTTTGCTCTTGTTCCATCCTTGAAGGTACTCTATAATCATGCTTTAAGATCTGTAACTTGCCATGGACAATTTCCGATGTGGCTGGTAACCTGCATTAGTAGAGACAATATGAGCACCTCTGTTCAAAGCTATTTTCATCCCCTGAAAGGCTTATGTTTTGTATGTTCCATTAGTGGAAAATTTGTGCTGGAATCAAGCATGGCGAAACATGTTTTGAAATGAAGAATTGAATGCAAGTTCCAAGTTTTGAGTCAACGTTTGATGCTGTGGTATCATAGGGTTCTTTTTACGACAGAGCTTTCGATTTGGAGTCACCAGTTAAAAGAACTTTAGATGTTGTCCAACTTGAGTTTTTGAAGTTTCGGCTTTTTGTTTACAATTCATGTAGGGGTAATATGTATATAAATATTCCTGCATGGCAAAAACTAGAGACATCATAGAAGTCTCTGTATATGTCATTCTCTCTCCTTATGGGCATGTTTGCTATTTGGCTTTGCAAGCCATTTTTGTCAACCCATTGATTCCTTATTTAAGTGTTTAGAAAAGGAAACTCGTTAATCAACTACTCCACCATTTGGAACCGATTCTGGTTGTGTTATCCTTCTGGCTGCCTCCTTGTCATCGTTACTGCTACCTTGTCTTAGACAAATTTTGACCCCAAGTTTTGTGCAGGCTAAGAAAAGCAAGCTTGCCGAGCCTCTCAAAGATGTTTTGGCCGAACTAGTTAAGCTCAAAAAGGCAACATGACAGCCCAGCAGAGATCCGCAGTTGCTGAGTGACTGACATGGATTCTTCTCCGTTCTTGCTTTTCCTTGATGCTGATTACTGCCTGGTCTTTAATGTTGATTGCAGGTTGTTTCGTTTATAATCTTTACTGTATTTGCTGCTCTCGGACTTAGGGTAGAGTAGTTCGGTGGGTTAGGTTGTGTGTATAGCTTCCCCTAGCAGAACAAGAAGCAGTATCCTCAGGACTTTCCTGCATCATTTTGTCACTTGTCGGATTCAGTAATTTACTTGAATTCAGAGATGTAAGGTTTATCCTTGAGGAAAGCGTTACTGATATTTTTGAAGTGTACTGTGCATATGTGTTGACTCCCTGAGCACGATAGTGTCTTTTTATAATATGCATGACGATCATCTCATGTACTCACCTCGTCTTCTCGTTGTTTTGAGCCAGTGAAGTTGGTGCCATGAGCATTTCGTTCACCGTACCCAAACTGTCGTCTCAATGGAAGAGTTCACTAAGTGAGGTTTTTATGCAGTTCATTTCCGATCTTTGGCGCTCTCTCTGTCTCTCCAGCTGAACACAAAAAGTCCATCCTCTCATTGTCATTTTCCAATCATGGGTCTTTTATGACTAAAGGTCGAGTTTTGATAGTCATAGGATATGAGATATTTAAATTTAAATATACACCATCCCCAAAATTAGCTAGTTGCTATGTTATCCAATTTCGCATTACGGCTTGATTCATGTTTTTCTAAATCAGTATGTAGTTACTATTCACAGAGTATTATTTTAAACTATTGGGTTAAAAGCTATGAGATTAGAAGCGAGTGAACTGTTATAGCAGCCGTCTAATTCATGATTATGGAAAACTCAGTTGCCAATGACTCGCCAGTTATGGACATTGATCAGTAGAAAAACAGGATTTAAGATTTGTGCAGTTGGTCTATTGATCATCTAATGTCTTGTTTTGACCAGTTCAGGACTTAAAATTTTAAAAACTCAGTTCGCCGTTGGTAGAATTCAAGCATTGGAATCCTTATACGCCACACGGTTCAATTAATTACCAGTATTTGAGTACCAAAGTCGGCTTCAACAAGCAGTAGAACATGACAACGTTGATGAGCTACATGGGTTAATAAAGGATGAGCCAAATCTTGCATCTAAGGGCCCCTTCCCAGATACTCCTCTACAGGTCACCATGGCCACCGGGAAAACCCAAGTGGCCATGGAGATGGCCATCTTGAAGCCGTGGTTCCCTCGGAAGGTGAATCGAGAGGGTTACAGACCCGTGCAATTGGCTTTGCAAAACAACCATTATCGCCCCGTGAGGGCACCGAGACCCTCGATATCTGAGTCCACGAACGACACGGTTCCACCCCTTTTCACTAAGTCGCCGAGAGAACTAGAGACATTGAGCTAGAGCTCCTGACCGAGAACTTATCCGCTTGCGGATCGTCCATCGAAAACTTGACAGGCCAATGCAACACATTGCCATTAAGAGCCACAGCCTCCAAGCATTCAAGGTGCTGTTGGATGGCTTAAGAGAGTCAATTTGACGCCAATCTTGGATCGGAAAGACAAAGATGGTAATACTGTCTTACATATTGCTGCATCTACAGGGTAGTCCGAGGCATCATTCATCGATTTCGCGGTTGTTTGTGCATCCTCGAATTGGCATAATCCAATTCCGAAACAAATGTAATGATAATGACTCCATCCCAACTTATAATGGACTTTTTTTATGCCATTCAGCTGGGTTGCGAAAATTAGGTCAGCAAGTAGCTGATTAAGA